CCAAGCATGACACAGAGAGAGCGAGAGAGAGAGACAGTTGCAGACAGTTCAAAGGGCGCGAAGAAGTGCGAAATAGCTCGGAACTTTTCTCCAAAAAGTTTTCCACAGAGAAAACTCATTTCAAGTGCGAATCAGTCCAGAAGATGGTCTGTCGGTCGTCTACTAAATGGATTTGTTTTAGACAGCCCCGAGAAGGGGAACTAGCTCGTAGCTTTGAACTTCAGCCACACACACATACAGTCGGCTATCGTTGAGTCCTGCAGATGGGAAAGTCTACAGTGAATATCTGTCAGAATCTGTTGGATAAATTCAGCATTGAAGCTGCTGTGATGACTCTGTCTTGTACGCTTTTAATGGCTGCATAAATTAATTGAAATTCTCAAAAATAAATGCAGGCAAAACTCTCAAAAGTTCTCAAGTACGGGATTATCTTACCATGCCGTACCTGTCTCACTCTCTTCTCCTCTTTCAATGGTTTTTGCCCTTTGTGCTCGAGCATTTCTCACCGTGTAATTTGGCCTATGGCTGACAGCCCTTTAACCTTCCAACAGCACCAGCACCGCACCACACCGCAAGAAGAAAAGAACTCATTTCATGTAATTAATTAAAGTGACCCCCAGGAAACAGGCGACACAACAAAGGGAGTTCCATCTAGAGTCCGCTAGTCCTTCCACACCCCCCAAAAAAAGGAACAATACTTGTAGTTGCTCATGGACTTTACTGGACTTGTCTGCTTGCTCCTGGCCTGGTCTGGTCTCCTCCTTCGGCTGGACACTTCCTTCTCCTGGAGTTGACTGCTTCTTTGACTACTCTGCTGACACGACACGACAGGACGGACGGACAGTGGGACCAGGGGGACAGACGGGGCACGGCTCAAGTGCATCAAAGTGGTAGAACCGTATTCGGGGTCTGGTAATTTGATCAACCATCAAGCACCCCAGCTCCGAAACGTCGCACAGTGGAGCCTCAGCCGAAAGGAGGTGGCAAAAGTCTCAAATTCTGTTGCAGCCTAAAATGCCATACAAAAACAGGGCAATCGAAGGGCAAAAAGGGATTTTACACAAAGATTTAGAAATATTCAACGATCTCGTGAAAATTTCGGGACTTTTACAATATATTGCAAAGCTTTTAGACATTGTAGCGCCACGGACTTGGGCATACTAAAATTTGTATGATATTTCTATTAAATGCAGTTCTCTTGATTCGCTCAGAAGTTATCAATTTAGCAAGCGGAAATGGCTGAATGGCCCACCGTGCGTCGTTTGCCCTTTTGTTTTTAAGGACTTAACACATTTTTCCACATTGATGAGCATTAACCCTGCAGCCGAGCAAGGAGTACAAGGAGTGGGAGAAGCTAATAATTTAGTTAAGTCAGTTAAGAAGTTCTCCTTCAAAGAGAAGGAGAGGAGGTAGGGGCTAGGCGGTACGGGGTAATGTCAGATGGGGCTTCCCTTTTTTGTGTTCCATATGGAAATCGGAATCCCATCAAATGTAACCGTGAGCTCAAGTTGCCCTTCTTCGTTTTCTTTCTCCTCTCCTCTCCTCTCCTCTCCTTTACTTCACTTTTTTTATTTTTAAAATTAGCTCAATGAGCATTTGTGCAATCAAGTGATTTTTAAACAACCAAAAAGGTGGACATGGGGAATGGGTGCTGTGAAAGCAGCAACCCCTGAAATACAAAATAATGCACGAGGAAAAGGGTTGCTCACACACACAGACACACACTCGATACGGATACGGGCGGCACTCCCACTCCCACTGCCACTCCCACTCCCACTCTCCCTCTTCCTCCACAACTCCCCTGGGACGAGTTGTGTGGCAAATAAATTTCACACATATTTGCACACTCCATCATGCCACACATATTGCAGAGAGAGAGGAGCATTCAATAATTTGTTCCTACAAGGTCGCCGCTTTGCCTCTTTCTTTCTCTTCGGTTGATTGTACTGGAAAGACGCTGCTGCTGCTGCTGCTGCCTATTGAGGCATGCCTCACATGCATGTACGTTCGAAAAAATTGCCCCCATATCTGCTCGAGTGTGTGTGGTATGGGTTTATCTGTATGCAAACACAAGTCCATGCCTCCATGACTCATGGCAGTACAAAAAAAAAAAAAAAACAAAATAACAAAAAACAAAAAGGGGTTGCAACGCGGCTCTGGTGGAAACCCCAGCTGCGGGTCTTCCCGTGGACGTCACTCGTGTCCGTAACCCCCTCAGTCATAAGAAATTCGTGTGTAGCAGTGGGTCTTCGGTTTCTTTGACGATTAATTCTGCATTCGGATCATTGATTAACAATGGGCTATTGATTAGCAGGATTGTAGGACAAGCGCTTACCAAAAGAACACTCGCCCCAGAAGGTTTCATAGATAACAAATTGAGTTTTTAGCTGGGGAAGGAAAAAACACAAATTAAGTTTGTTGTTTGCTCAAGTTTTTTGTAGAGATTAATCGCCAAAATCATGGATGCCTTTCCACAGACTTAAACTTAAACCAAAATCCATTTCTTTGCTACACAAAACTGCACAAAAGTCGCCTTAAAGAGCCAGGAGTGAACACCTCCATCAACCATGAACTTGTTAGCGACAGAAAAACATCAAATGGTGTAGAAATATCAGCACATTCCCCCAAGGGGCTGCCCAAATGGGAATCCAACGGAACGAACTTGAAGTTCACTTTCAAAATGCCAGCCGGCAATCTATGTGAAGAAATTCAGAAGCTCCCCGTGAGTGTGGCGATGAGTTGTGGAAGGACAATTCTCATGATGATGATCATTATTGTTATTTCGCACAGGTTACATTCTGTTGCCACTTTCTGTGTGACTCCTCTTTCGGTTACTTTTTTACATTTTCCTTTTTCCTTTTTCGTTTTTTTTTTTTTTTTTTTGTCAATTTTGCCGCGAGAACTCGAGTCATTTGCAAGTCGCGTGTGTGGATGGTTGGTTGGAGGAGGTGTGTGTGTCACATTTGCCACGACACGATTTCCTTTGACTTTGCCATCCCTGTGCCGTCTCCTGTTCCTGCTGCTGCGGCATCCTTCCTTCCTTCCTTCCCTGCTATAACCTCAAACACATCCTTATTTATTTCTATTTTTATGTGTTGCACACGGCAACAACAACCCAAAAATCAAATAAAACGAACCGAACAGAAACAGAAACACAAACAGAAACAGAAACCGAAAAAATATACCAGTGCTTCAGAATACCCTTTCAAGAGGTGAAAGTTGAACAAATTGAATGATGTGAGATGTCTTGGAGACTGCGTTGAGCCATTCAGTGGCAACAAATTAAAACAAAAAAAATCATTTTTGAACGCAAAACTTCTGCTCTAGACAGGCCCCTGCAACCACTGCCCAAAAATCGCCAATGCTCACTCCTTAGAGTGTATCAAAGGCGAGAGTAGCAGACAAGAAGAATTCATTTTCACTGCGCATTTTCACTCCTTTTCTAGAGCGGGGCGGTTGGATATCCACATCCAGCGGCCCTTTTGCCACTCCTCTGGTCTTCAGCTGAAGCCACCAATTCGACTTCCTCTTTTGACATTCATTCGCATTCACATTCCTCCCAATTGTGTTATAAATTCAAAAATGAATAACGCACGTTTTCTTGTGGTTTAAAATTCTATTTTATTTGTATTGCCACCACTCCCGCACATTCGCACATCCGCACATCAGCATCAGCATCATCCCCTTTCAGCGTTTTTACTTTTACTGATTTTGTGTATTTGGTTTTTTTGTTTCAAGTACCATAACCCACCATACCCCCATTCTCAGCTCTCAATTAGAACATTTTTGCAATGACATTTACATTTGTGGGGCTTTGCAGTCGGAAAAAATACTTGGAAAAGCCATGGACAGGCGACCGCACACTGGACCATTACTCGGGTAACTCGGCTCTTAAGGTTTCAATTCATTTTCGGGTTTGGTTCTTTCTCTTTCTCTGTTGGTCTGCTTAAAGAATTGTTTCCCCCGGCTGCAGTTTGAAAAAAATGTAAGAGCATTATGTGGGGGAAATCTTCAATGCCAAAGAGGACAGTGCACAAATATGTTGCGGCTTCGGATTGATGGCAGCTTACGTAGAACTATTGCTAAGGCGGAAATGAAAAGTATGGAATGAAAAAGCAACTAAAAGCTATACAAACGTGTATTTTGGAAGGAATTTATGCCCTACGAATGGAACCATTGATGAAGTTCCACTTGAAGCCTCATGCCATTCCTTCATTCAATTTCGTAGTTGTAACAATCAATGCACAGAACGAACAATTAACCCAAGCAAACACAGCCTCGCTCTCCACCACCAATACACAATCACAAGAATTTCAATCAGAGAACCAGAGGATCTGACGAAAATACCATCGGGAGAGGCGAACGAACCGAACGAACGATGGAAACCCATAGACAAATGGCATCAGAATTTAATTCAATTGCAAATCCCATATCATCCTCTGAGAAAAACACACAGAAAGTTGTACAGAACGACGATGAACGGCGTTCCAGCAGAAGGATGGGGCAAAAAAAACATTCAATTATGAATTCCGAGAAAAAGCTTTGAACAGACACAACAACAAAAAACAAGAAAAACTACAGGGTAAAACAGTTTTATTTATCCAACATTTGACTTTGAAATGATGAAAATGCTAAAGCAAAATGTTACAAACAGCAGATGGACGGGGCGGGGTGCATGAAAGGAGACACAGATGGGGATGTTGCAGGGGGTTTGAAATTTGAAATCCACCCAGAGAGGTAAAATTTCATTTTGTCTGACATTCGTAAGTCACATCTGACATACAATGCCCTAAAACATTTCCATCATTTTTTTCTTGCTGTAAGAGCTGAAGAGAAAGCAAAGCATTTTCCATTTCTGAGAGAGTATATTTTCTTATGTATTTTGTTGTTTGCTGTGTTGTTTGTTTGGTAACACAGTTTGTTGAAAAAGTATACGCATGCTAATTAAATTGTGACTCTGCTCTAATATTTTCCATTTCCAATTGCTTTTTTCATTGCAGCATCTGGCACGAAAGTGGAACGAAAGTGGAAAATGGTAAGTAAAAGAGATTCAACAGCGGCGATTATGGGGAACGATTCCAAACAAGTGCACAAGCTGTTCCTGGAATTTTGGTGATAATTCAAATAAGTTCAACTAATAAAGAAGCCTCAGGGGGTAGGTAAGCCGCAAGTCCAGTGCGGTGGCTTGAGGTCAAAAGTTGCATTCCACCTGATAAAAGTCTCAATAGCCAGCAACTACTGCTCGTCGAATATTTGATTTTCGTGCTCCTTCATCAACGTCTAATCCCCAGTGTCCACTTTTATGCTTTTCCACTTGCTGCCGCACTTGAACCCTGAGCCCAAGAACTCCTCGCTCCCCCCCACTTAAGCCAACTCTCCGAGTCAGACTCCATTTGCATCCATCCGCCCCATTTTATGCTCACGCCTCCTGCCGCTCCGCTTCTGGCAAATCTAACCAAATGCCAACACAAATTTTGTTTGCTTTTTGTATTAGGTTGACAAAAATCAACAGCCAGGTAGACAGGCAGCCAGGCAGGCCATGGATTCCACTCGCTGGAGATTTATGGGCTGGCGTTTCTCTAGTTTCTCTCTGGCTTTTTGAGCTGTTTGTCTTTTGCAAATGTTGGGCAATATTTTGCGGTAAAAGGTGAATTTATTAGTACCACTCCTCCTATGGAAACATAGAGAGCGAGAGAGAGCTTTTATCGCCAAACACATTTTCCATGGTCTTAAGATCTTGACAAATCATAAACAAAACGCAGACCATAATGAAAGAAAACAAAATCTCTTTCCTATAATCAAATTCCAAACAAAATGACAATAAAAAGCACCACAGAGTATCCATCCATGGAGGCCATGGAGAGACCTCTTAACCCAAAGACAGGCCCGAATAGATGCATATCAAAAATATCGAAGAAGAGGCTGGCCAACCGATGGGAGGAGAGGCTGGAGAATGGAGAGTGCATGGAGAGTGAGAGACTTAATCTCCACATTCGAAACCCATTCCGAATCCGACCCCTTCCCAATTCCCTCCACTTTATGAAACAGAAAATGAAAATCTTCATGGCCTAAGCCTCCACTAACATGGAGATGATAAGCAAGGCAGGGCGAAAGGGGAAGTTTTGGGGCACCGCAAGATACGCATCTCTTTTGGATTCATTTCTTTCTTCATTCGGGTTTTTCCCTTCTGTTAAGCCGATTTCTGGTTGACTTTTTCTGTGTGCCTGTCCGCCTGTCCGTCTGTCCGTCTGTCTGGCTGGGCGCTTGTCTGTGTGTTGTTGCGACATAAAACACAATAAAAGCGAAATAAAAAACACACACAAAATCTTGGCCCTCATCTGCTTTTAGGCTGTGATGACAGTGCCGAGAGTGCGAGAGAGTGTGAGTGTGAGAGTGGGGGCTGGATGTCAACACTATCATTTTCGAAATTCCAATAAGTTTTTCCAAAAAAAAAAAAAAAGGTTCTGTTTGATGAACAGATTGGCCACAGCACAGAAAGGGAAATAAAACTTTCTGCTCTATGGCAAGAGGTCGGCAGTTTTTGGTTCGATTAAAGGATACAACATACGCAGTATGTGGCGGATATGTAGACAAGTGCCACACTTTTCCCGACAGCATATTCAAATGGTATTCAAATGACATTGCTTTCCTGCTGTGCAGCTTATCCCCCGCCCCCCCCCAAGTTAGGCCTCTTATTCTCCAAGCATCCATTCATACGCTCCACTTGACCCAATAATTGTGGATGGCATTTTTGGTGGGCAAAATTGTAGTTTTGCCATGAAATTTTCTCATTCATTTGATCAAATATTTTTGAATGCCCGAAGAAGTTGAAGAAACAAAAACAGCTGGCGGAATGCCATTCCCTTTCATTAAGCTACCGATTGCTGTTGTTGTTGTTGTTGTTGTTTCTGCTGCTGCGGCTGCTGCTGCCCGTGTGCAGTCTTTTTTGTTGTTGCAGCTGCAACATTGGCCACCAAGTTGTGGCCCACATTTTGTGTGTTCGCTTCGCTTCGGTTCGGTTCGGTTTATGTTTTTGTTTTTGTTGCTGCTCCCTTTTCTGGCTTCCACGTGAACGCTCGTGCCACAAGAGCTGCAGCCAGCCACCGCACCCCACTGCCAAAAGTTTCGTGGATGTATGTTAATTAAAGTCATTACGTGGAGGATCCCGCCAACACCAACACCAACACCAAAACCAACGCCAAGAGTCCCAGAGCCCAAAGGAAACAAAATTCAAATGTAGTTCCATTCTGCCACTCCGCCACTCTGCGGCTCTGCTCTCTGGTCTCTGGTCTCTGTGCCTCATCCTGTTGCTGGATTCTAGGAGCAGCAGCAGCAACAGCAACAGCAACAACAAAGTGAAGCCAAACGCTGCGCCAAATTGGCCAATTTTCATATGCATGGCAAGCAGGAGGAAAATCAGGAGCAGCACGGACACAGCTCAAGGCGCAGGCAGGAACGGTCAGTGGCAGGAGTGGTGCCTGGGAAAATCTCCTCTTTGGCATTGACATCATTGAATAATTTTGGTTAGGGCATGGGGTGTGGCAAGGGCTCTCAATAAGTGTGTGTGTGTGTGTGTAGCTCAAGGAGGATGAGAGGAGAGGCTTACCAGCTGGGTGGTGTGGTGTGGTGTGGTGGCCTGACTGCAGACGCCACGTGTCAGAAGCATTTCTGAAATAATGAAACATGCGAAATGACTGCACTGATAGAAATGGAATTCGAATTCGAAGAGAGCGCAGAGATGAGGCTGAATCGAACAAACAAGTGCAAACGGTTCAAGTTTTATTATTTTTAAAGCTAGAACGGGAATTGTAAGTGTTAAAGTATCTTCACTCGCAAAGCACACCCCGAAACAACGCACCCACACATTTCTTGCACTGTATCGTGGCCGTGCGTGCTTGGGTGGTGGCGGACTATACCTTACCTTTCATGTGCCTCCTCTAATGATGCACAACATGCACAAAATGTGTTAATGATAAACCAACTGCCGACTGCCAACTGCCAACTGCCGACTGCCGACTGCCAATGGATTGGCATTGAGTTCACCTTTTTGTGTGTGTGCCGAGAGCGCACTCGATGACTGCCTAATGAGTCCACGAGCCCCCGAACCTGTTGCCCTTTTTGCCAAGTGGGGCTGGCAGGGGTGTTGGTTCGGCAGAAGGAACCTCTTGCCTTGAGATACTTTTGCTTTTCAAATCGAAAACTGTGCTGCCTGCTGCCTGCTGCTGCTGTCGGGGCCAGAGTGAAGCAAATTAAATTGCAGCATGAAATCGAATTGCCAGCAGGCAGCTGAGGCATTCAAATACATTCAAGAACGTGGACCGGGGATGCTGTGGATGTATCCATAAGATACATTCAATGCCTTGGTGCTTGGAACAACTCCTCTTGCAGCTTATTCTTGCAGCTGCCGCTGCTGCTGTTGGCCCCCAGATGACGACGACTACAACGAAGACGACGACGACGATGGACGGATGAGGATGAGGATGAACCCAAGATTCAGAAGACTTTAAATTGCTTTTGCCAAACGCTGCAGCATCTCGTGCAACGTCCTCCTCTCACCTGAACAGCGGAGGGTAGGACAGAGAGAGTGAGAGTGACAGAGAGAGAGATAGAGAGAGAGAAAAGGGGATGCGGAGAGCTGAGCCAAAGGAGAAATAATATAAGAAAAATGTTAAGAGAGTTCTCTACAAAGTGTTCGATTAAAATAGATATTTTTATGGCTTTTGCATTCGAGAATTGCATTAGGCGAGTGCTTTTTTTGGCCAAGGAAAAACCAGGTTAAAAGTTGAACATCGATCGGTATTACATATAGATGGTAAATAAGGAGGAGAAGTGCAGAGCAGCAGAGAGAGTTGTATCTAATATTAAAGAACTTAAATACACATATTTAAATGTTTAAATAAATATTTCAAACCTTCCAAGTTTCGGGGGTTTCACGGGATCTTTGCGGGACTATTGAACAAGAAGAAAATGCATGAACAAATTTTCAAACATTTATTTTATAAATACCTTTCATAAATCCTCAAAGAATTCCATTGAATAGTCTCCAGTATGTTGCTTCTTCAATTACAATATGTTTGTGCAAACATTCCCTGAAAATAAATAATAAACACAAATCTTTCGAATGGTTTTAGCAACAAACAAACAAGAAAATATCCCTCAAATACCAGACATAAAATATTTTCTACCAGCAATCAAATCAAAGAGCCACCACACAAAGTGCAGGCAGAGATTCACGGGAAAATGTTATATGAGAATCCTTGCCGAGAAATCTTAATTGAAAAATGCATATCAATTGCGATATTGGTCTGGTTTTTGTGTAGTTTGCCTTTGGTTTTTAGGCACAAACGAAGGCAACTCAATCAGTGGGAATGCTCATATCAAAATGTTGCACAAATGCAGCAAATAAACGCCATATTGTTGGCATTGTTGTGCTCTGCTCTGCTATCAGTGTTGTTTCTGCTGTTGCCTTTTTTTTTTGTGTTTGTGTGTTGGTTGGCCATTTTTTATTGTTGGCAACGCCTCGACAAGACCACAAACAACTCGTTAGAATTTGCATGCAAAATGCAATCGCCCAAAAAAACAGAAACAAAAAACGTAACAAAAACTATCAACAACAACAAATACTAGAAAAAAAGGCCAGAGGAAAAGCAACAGCAAAAAAGGAAAAGCAAATGCACAGAGAGGCACAAACATTGCCGAGTTTTGTTAAGAGTTTGAACAGAGATGGCAATAGACAGATTGCGGCAGTCGGAGGGTGATGGGAGGTAGGGCAGAAGCATCTACGGGGCAATGGAAATTGGGAGAAGGAGGAGGAGCATTTGACTATACAGCAGCCGGCGGATGGCCATCAATTTGATATATCAATCAGAGGAAAGGCGAGATGAGAGATGGACCAGGGGAAAGGAATGGGGAAACTCATTTGGATTTTTGTATACCCTCTAGCTCTTCCATGAGATGGAATGGAAAGTGATGAGCAGTGATCCACCACATATTCGAATATTTTCCTTACATTTTTAGTCTAAAATGGAAAACATTTTCTTGATTTTTGTAACTTTTATAATATCTAGTACTTAAATTTGCATTTGTGTCTAAAGTTTTTCCTTATTTATACCCAGTATTTGATAAGTTTAGAGCAACCAACCATATTTTGCCTAGAGACTGCTGCTAAAAGTAGTGACGCTTCTAAACGCGTCCCACAACGTTCTACCTCGTACTCCGCCAGACATAATTAAAGAGTTTCCTTCGAGAAATTCATTGCACAAGTATTCCTAGCCCAAAATATCATTTGGTTTGGAATTACTCTCTTCATGCCGTTTCCTCCCAGCATTTCTGTGAGACAACCCCTGATGAATCATTGAGATTCGCTGAGCAGATTTTTACGGGCCTTTAAGCCCTCGAAATGTTCGAGTTCATCGTAAAAGAATGACCATTACCGTGGAGGCTTATATCTTCTTTAATTTCGGTTTGCCTTGAAGGCGTTCTAATAACCGATAATAACCGGGACAGACAGACGCTTGGGCATTTTCGGTTTTCAAATGTGGCCTTGAGGGCGGACATATCCGTAGATACATGTGACATGCCACATGCATGAAGCCTGTCTGTCCGCCTTCTAGGATTGTCTTGGACACACGCTGGGGGCCATGGCCATGGCCATGGCCAGAGCGACTCATAAAGGGATCTGACTCTCCCACTGATTGATTTATGTTCCCCCC